TTGCCTGTATTTTATTTTCAAATCAGGCAATGGTAACAGCATGGGATATTTAGAAAAGCATTAACTATATCCAAAAACTTAATTTTTTGGTAGCTACCTTTTTTTACATTAACAAATCTTACATTATACAAGTATAATTTACAGTCAGTAATCATAATTTTAAGCTTAGAGGTCAGTAACTATAACATTTGCCAAAAGTTACATGTAGGCAGCAAGGTTCCCTTAAATCTAAGTCTGGTGGCATGGTAGTGACATAAGGTCAATCTTTTTTTTTCAGGAATACTCTGTATGTCAAATAAATTCCTTCTCAATTTTATATTTTTGGAGCCATAATTAGGTCAGATTTCATGGCCAAAATACCCTTCTTTGTAGTGGCCCAATAAAGGCTGCTTCCCCAACCAAACTAGCCTCTTTTTTCCCCCAGTTTGGTCCTAAAAATCCCCCAGTCTTTTGAAATTTCCCATAGAATTTAGAACAAAATTAAATGGTCTTTTACTCTTTTGCCCCTAAGAAAAAGGCCGAATTTACCCCTTCCTCAAAAATGGTGTCTTGGCCCTGGATTTTATTGGCAATAACATCCCCTCCAACCACCACAAAAAAATCAACAACAATAACTCTATCAACTCGTAATTCCTTCGATCTGTTTATCAACAACGATAAAATTTACTGGTCTCTGCAGAACATAATTTGTCGCCATTTCATACGGTATAGATGGATACCGAAAATAAGCTATTTTCGCGAAAATAAGATCGCGCTACGAAAATAAGATTTATTTTTGAAATAGTGCATTTATCTGTTTAATTAAGTATGTAAGATATATATTTATGCATTCTTTGGATGATTTTACAGCAAATTAAAATTTCAGAACCAAAACAATATCTAAAAAAGTGCAGTTTGAGCCGAAAATACATACGTTCGAATATAGCTCAAATCGCCGTGTGAGCGAAAATAAGATCGAGTCTACGAAAATAAGATTTATTTTTAATATAATGCATTAAAAATGCATTTTTGTTGTTATTAAATGATTTGTATGAATGAAATTATAACCCAAACAAAACTGCTGATTTGATTAGCGATAATGTTGAGATGCCGCTAGTTTTTGTTTCATATTGAATATTAAGTTTTTGTTTCATATTGAATATTAAGACCAATTATCCAGTGCATATTCAACAATCTGCTGCAGGTATTTTCACACCAATTAGTGTCGTATTTATCAGCTGATAAACATGTAAACATACCCTGAGGTCAGGGTATTAGACTGTGTTACTGTTCATATCAAAATTTCGTATGGAACGGAAGTTACAAATATAAACCAGTCAATGACCCACAAAAAGTAGACTGTGTCGCTGTGTTTTGAGATAAGAAAAGATAAAACGGAAGTTGTAGATGGAAAACCAGATGTGTACTTTTCCATTCTTAAAATAGAAAATGCTAAATTTAGACTGGAGATTCCAAAAGTCATACTTTTCGTAAGTTTGAGCCAATCGTGATTTTCTTGAGCCAATTTAATTATTTTGGAGCCAATTTGCTCATTGGCTCCTGCCAGCGCGAGCCCTGATTAAGGGGAAGTGCAATGCACAAGAACCATAACTCGATCTAAAGTAATTACAGAGTTATTGCCCTTTGTTACTTTTCCATTGCTTTCTTTTGTCCGGAGACTAATGGTTTGAATTCATTCACATCAACTTTACACCATGGTCAAGCACAATAAGAGGAAGTTCAGTGCATAAGAACCATAACTCTATCTGAATTAATTTCTGAGTTATTGCCCTTTGTTACTTTTCCGTTGCTTTCTTTTGTCCGGAGAATAACTTGAAAACCACTTGATGGAATTCAAAACAACTTCATACAATGGTCAAGCACAATAAGAGAAAGTGAAGTGCATAAGAATCATAAATCTATCTAAAGTAATTACAGAGTTATTGCCCTTTGTTACTTTTCCATTGTTTAATTTGTCCAGAGATTAACTTGAAAACTACTGGTTGGAATTCAAAACAACTTCATACAATGGTCAAGCACAATAATAGGAAGTGCAGTGCATAAGAACCATAAATCTATCTAAAGTAATTACAGAGTTATTGCCCTTTGTTACTTTCCATTGCTTTTTATAACCCCGAAACAAAGTTGGGGAGTATATTGGAGTCACTCAGTGGTCGGTCAGTTGGTCTGTCCAGCCGTCCGTTGCATTTTCCTTGTCCGGAGCATAACTTGAAAACTAATGGTTGGAATTCAATACAACTTCATACAATGGTCAAGCACATTGAGAGGAAGTTCAGTGCACAAGAACCATAACTCCATCTTGACTAATTACAGAGTTATTGCCCTTTGTTACTTTTCCTTGTACGAAGCATAACTTGAAAATTACTGGCTGGAATTCAAAACAACTTCATACAATGGTCAAGCACAATAAGGGGAAGTGTAATGCACAAGAACCATAACTTTTCTAAAGTAATTACAGAGTTATTGCCCTTTGTTACTTTTCCATTGCTTTCTTTTGTCCGGAGCATAACTTGAAGACTTATAGTTTGAATTTAATATAACTTCATACAATGGTCAAGCACATTGAGAGGAAGTGCAGTGCCCAAGAACCATAACTCCATCTTGACTTATTACAGAGTTATTGCCCTTTGTTATTTTTCCTTGTCCGGAGCATAACTTGAAAACTACTGGTTGGAATTCAAAACAACTCCATACAATGGTCAAGCACAATAACAGGAAGTGCAGTGCACAAAAACCATAACTCTATCTGAAGTATTTACAGAGTTATCGGCCTTTGTTACTTTTCTATTGCTTTTTTTGTCCAGAGCATAACTTGAAGACTAATGGTTGGAATTCAAAACAACTTCATACAATGGTCAAGCACATTAAGAGGAAGTGCAATGCACAAGAACAATAACACCATTTTGACAAATTACAGAGTTATTGCCCTTTGATACTTTTCAATGTCCAGAGCATAACTTGTAAAGTAATGGTTGCAATTCAAAACAACTTCATACAATGGTCAAGCACAATAAGAGGAAGTGCAGTGCACAAGAACCATAACTCAGTCAAGAGTAAATTATAGAGTTATTGCCCTTTGTAACTTTTCCATTGCTTTTTTCTTGTCAAGAGCATAACTTGAAAACTACTAGTTGGAATTCCATGCAATTTCATACAATGGTCAAGTATATTGAGAGAAAGTGCATTGCACAGAAACCATAACTCTTTCTTGACTCATTTAAGAGTTTTTTGCCCTTTGTTATTTTTTTGTCCACTGCATAACTTGAAAACTAGTAGTTGGAACTCAATACAACTTCATACAATGGTCAAACACAATGAGAGGAAGTGCAGTGTACAATAACCATAACTCCATCTTCAGTATTTGTAGAGTTATTGCCCTTTGTTCCATTTCCTTGTCATAACTTGCATAACTTAGAAACTAATGTTTAGAATAATCAATTCAATGAAACTTCATACAATAGTCAAGCGCAATGAGAGGAAGTGCAGTGCTCAAGAAGCGTAACTCTTTTTGGATTTCTTTCTGAGTAATTCAATAAAACTTCATCAATGGTCAACCACATTGAAAGGAAATGCAACATATAAGAACCACATCTATCTTGTAATTTCCCACAACCATAACTCTATTTCAGTTCTTTTGCAAGGTATTCTTTTACTAGTAACTTTCTCATTTCCGAAGCAGTCTTGCGGGGGTATTAATCACATTTATTGATAGTTCTAGTTTTGTCCGGACAACAATGTATTGTATCAAATATGAAAAAACTTTGCCATACTTTTTCTTCCATTGAGAATGCCTTATTCAAAATTCCAGAAGGTCTATTTCACATTATCTGTCCCAAAACAATTTAAAATGATAATACTGGTCAATACTGCATGATTATTTGATTGTAGAATTACGTATATCATACTCTCGACAGGCATTTTAATCACTATGCTTCAGCATTAGATTTCCTCAGATCATTTATCCTTAACATTTGACCAAATTACATAAGCTTTTAAACATTTTTTAAGCAGTTCTTCCATTATCAATATTTTCCTAAATTTGTAATATGTTTTTATGACAAAATTCAATTTTATTTTTGATGACTTAAAATGAATCGGTCTATAATGTTTGGTCTGTAATACAAAAAATAATTATGCTGATAGTATTTATTATCAGATATTTCAACAAACCACAATAGAATCATTTATGGATGTTGTTGGCAGGTGTAAGACACATGATCCTATAATACATATATATTTATATTGCAGATAATAAAAATGTTCTATAACAAAATATTATTATTCATCATATAAATGTTTAATACTATGTACATTTTGTATACTACTTAGAACATTAACAACCCTTTTTTCCCCAAGCAATGTTTTAAGAGAATTTCCAAATGATACATTCCTATTGTTTTCATTGATTTTTAAAACACTAATGGAAAATGTGCTCATTATAGATCTATCCACTTTAATGTACGAAAAAGAACAAACATGCAGTGAATTAGGTATTAACTTATTTTGATAATACAGTTAAGATTGTATTGTTCTACGACAGTTTATAGATGTAAAGGAAGTTGTCTAGTGAATCCCAGCTATAATACAGCTTCTTTGTTTCTCCACACCAACATACAGCCACTGGTCCCTTCAGGTCTTGCAGAACCACATTTCCTGTTGAACAGTCTCCTGATATCTCTTCTACAACATTTCTGTCATAATCACAAACAAAGACATTACCATCATCTGACAGTGACATTCCTCTAGGGTAACTCATACCACTATAACTACCTATCACATCACCCTGCCAGTTTAATCTTGTTACTGTCTTCATGCCTAAGTCAGATACATAGATAGAACTTCTGTTACTGATGACATCACCTAGAGATCTGAAAATATTATTTCCATCAATTGTTGTCAGTATAGTGCCATTCATATCAAGTATCTGAAGTTTTGCAGGATTAAGGAATGACACAACAAGTTTATCTTGGTAACAGCTTATACCTTGACAGTCAACATCAACCTTCACTGCGTGCTTCTTTACAAGTTTGTTTGATGAGATTGATATAAATTGTATTGTTTGTATGTTAGGAAGTATGACAGCAAGTTCAGTACTGGTTACTCTGGTGATATCCAATGGTCCAGCATCTAGTTGTAGTTGATCAAACACAGATTTACTGCTGGTATCCACCATCTTTATGGCATTGTTATAGTGGTCAGTGATGATAAGAAGATCAGGAGCCAGCAGAGTCATTCCTGTTATATTGCAATTATATTCATCTTTTGATGTCTTCACACGGAATTGTCCCTCATGTGAAGACTGTCTAGATTTAATTTGTATAGGTTGACGTTTTTTATTAAAACTTTTCAGTGTACCCAGTGACTTCTTTTTTTTAAACAAATTTAATATTACATCATTTGATTGAAAGTTGTGCTCTTTGATATCATATGATAAAAGTTGTTGTGCTTTTCCCTCCACATTCTGTATTGTTTTCTCTGCAAGTTTAAGTTCCATGAAAAGTTTGTTGGCCTGTTTTGATGTGTTAAGTTGTTTGATTTTGTCTGCTGATATCTTCAAAGATTTGGTTATATCTTCGCAAATTTCTTCTACTGCTTTCAGATGTTTTTTGTTATCTTGTTCTATGACTTTAGCTGCATCTTCAGCCTGTCTCTCAAGTTCATCTAGTCTTTGGTTGATTTCTTGCCGAAACTTTTTAATGTCAACGAATGCATCTTTGAGAGAGCTATTTGATTTGTATATCATGTTCTTGACATCTTCTACCATCTGTTGAAATTTCTCGGAAGTGGTATTTACTGCATTCAAGATAACTTGATATTCTTTGCTGTCTATAATATCACCAGAACTGTCTGGTATATAGTTGACTTTGCAGGAAGTAACTTGATGTTCAAGGGTAACACAAACACTGCACAGAAATTCTGTATGGTCATTGCAGTAGAACTTGAGAATTTCTTGTGGATGTTTCAGACATGATGTGGTTAGGACATTAGACTGACCTGTGTGTATGGATGTTGAGGGTTGCTGCAAAACTTTAGGCATATTAGTAGCGTCCTTAAGTGTATGGTGTTTAGAAAGCCTATTTATTTTATGGGCTGTAAAGCATGTGTGGCAAAGGTGTTCCTTGCAGTCAGTACAGTAACCATGTGCAGGGAGTCTTGGTCCTTCCTCGTCACAAGGCTGGCAGTAAATTTGAAGATCTTCATCTGATGCCATGGATGTTGTAGATGATGAAAATTGTTTTGAAGCTTTCTTTCCTGACACTGCCATGTTTTACCTAAAATTCATAATAATAGATTACTTTGCATTGCATGTTTGTCGAATTGCCTTTTTGTATAAAATTGTGTCATACTCTAGCAGACAATTTAAAACATTGGTAGTATCTTGCTTACTTTTACGTCTTGTTTAGAGTAAAAAGATGAGCAGAAAATATCTTTTAGAAATAAAACATTTTAGATTTATATTTTAGATGTTATTATAACATAACACTTCATTGTAAGATCCATATCGATGGCTTAACTCAATAAGGGCGTAACTACATTTTTGAAAATTTTACAGTAGATTTCTGTATATTCTCATTACATTTATACTTTCTTTTGTGATATGAAAATATACATTCTAAATATAACTTATAACAACATCAAAATGAATTATGTAAAAAACATTTGAGAGATAATATTATATGGAATAAGGGTGTTGGTATACTTACGTCCATATTGCAGTAAGATTTACATTAAACATGGGCATTTTTTGTTAATATGCAATATGGTACCATGTCTATATATAATTCAATCAAAATAGGATATTTAACTTTTTCAATGATTTTTCAAGAAATACCTCAAAGTCTACATCGATGTATTTACAATTCTACAATGTGACATCGAAATTTATACCTCCTGACGTAATATTCAGGTTATAAATGCCTAACTTGTTTTATTCAATAAATTGAAATATATGTTAAAATTTTTATTATGCCCCCATTTCGAAGAAAAGGGGGTATATTGCTTTGCACTTGTCGGTCCGTCGGTCCGTCGGTCCGTCGGTCCGTAGACCAAATGGTTTCCGAGTGATAACTAAAGAACCCTTAGGCCTAGGAACTTCAAACTTGGTATGGTGATTGGTCATGACCAGTAGATGACCCCTATTGATTTTGGGGTCAAGGGGTCAAAGGTCAAGGTCACATTGACCTTGTAAGCAAAAACGGTTTCCGATCAATAACTAAAGAACCTTAAGGCCTAGGAACTTCAAACTTGGTATGGTGATTGGTCATGACCAGTAGATGACCCCTATTGATTTGGGGTCAAGGGGTCAAAGGTCAAGGTCACATTGACCTTGAAAGCAAAAACGGTTTCCGATCAATAACTAAAGAACCTTAAGGCCTAGGAACTTCAAACTTGGTATGGTGATTGGTCATGATCAGTAGATGACCCTATTGATTTTGGGGTCAAGGGGTCAAAGGTCAAGGTCACATTGACCTTGTAAGCAAAAACGGTTTCCGATCAATAACTAAAGAACCTTAAGGCCTAGGAACTTCGAACTTGGTATGGTGATTGGTCATGATCAGTAGATGACCCCTATTGATTTTGGGGTTAAGGGGTCAAAGGTCAAGGTCGCATTGACCTTGAAAGCAAAAAACGGTTTCCTATCAATAACTAAAGAACCTTAAGGCCTAGGAACTTCAAACTTGGTATGGTGATTGGTCATGATCGGTAGATGACCCCTATTGATTTTGGGGTCAAGGGGTCAAAGGTCAAGGTCACATTGACCTTGTAGGTAAAAACGGTTTCCAATCAATAACTAAAGAACCTTAAGGCCTAGGAACTTCAAACTTGGTATGGTGATTGGTTATGACCAATCAGATGACCCCTATTGATTTTGGGATTAAGGGGTCAAAGGTCAAGGTCACATTGACCTTGTAGGTAAAAACGGTTTCCGATCAATAATGAAAGAACCCTTAGGCCTAGGGACTTCAAACTTGAGATGGTGATTGGTCATGATCAGTAGATGACCCCTATTGATTTGGGGTCAAGGGGTCAAAGGTCAAGGTCACATTGACCTCTTAGGTAAAAAAACGGTTTCCGATCAATAACTAAAGAACCCTTAGCCCTAGGAACTTCAAACTTGGTATGGTGATTGGTCATGACCAGCAGATGACCCCTATTGATTTTGGGGTTAAGGGGTTAAAGGGCAAGGTCACATTGACCTTGTAGGTAAAAATGCTTTCCGATCAATAACTTAAAACCCTTATGCCTAGAAACTTCAAACTTGGTATGGTGATTGGTCATGACCAGCAGATGACCTATTGATTTTGGGTCAAGGGGTCAAAGGTCAAGGTCACATTGACCTTGTAGGTAAAAACGGTTTCCGATCAATTAACTAAAAACGCTTAGGCCTAGGAACTTCAACCTTTGTGTGATGAAATTGGTCATGACCAGCAGATGACCCCTATTGAGTTTTAGGTGAAGGGGTCAAAGGTCAAGGTCAGATTGACCTTTTTTAAGTAAAAACGGTTTCTGATCAATAACTCAAAGAACACTTAGGCCTAGGAACCTCAAACTTGGTATGGTGATTTTGTCATGACCAGCAGATTACTCCTATTGATTTTGGGATAAAGGGGTCAAAGGTCAAGGTCACAATGACCTTGTAAGTAAAAAACGGTTTCTGATCAATAACTAAAGAACGCTTCGGCCTAGGAACTTCAAACTTGGCATGGTGATTGGTCATGACCAGCAGATGACCCTATTGATTTTGGGGTCAAAGGTCAAGGTCACATTGACCTTGTATGTTAAAACGGTTTCCGATCAATAATAAGAGAACCCTTAGGGCCTAGGAACTTTCAACCTAGGCATGGCGATTGGTCATGACCAGCAGATGACCCCTATTGATTTTGGGGTCAAGGGGTCAAAGGTCAAGGTCACATTGACCTTGTAGGTAAAAACGGTTTTCTGATCAATTTACTAAAAACGCCTAGGCCTAGGAACTTCAAACTTTTTGTATGATGATTGGTCGTGAGCAGCAGATGACCCCTATTGAGTATTGGGTCAAGAGGTCAAAGGTCAAGGTCATGACCAGTAGATACTTTATAACCCTTATTAATTGTTTGATCACTGGGTCAGAAGTCATGCATAATAACCTTATCACATGACTAATTGGCTGCTGATAGGGGGCATACATGTTTTACAAACATATCTTGTTTATTTAAGTTTTAATTTATTTTGTTTGGAATAAGTTTAGCAAACAATTAAATTAATTTAGTGCTTAATGTATTCAAGAACTTGACAAAAATATTTTTAACTATTGAAATTTCTGCAGACACTAGTTTTTGTCTACACATTAGGACCTTTTGTAATTACATTGAACCAATAAAGCATAGCTACATGTATCATGTGTGTCATTTAAGACATGTATGAAAATGAAAAATGAAGTCTTTGTGAATGTTACCATTCTGTTTCCTTCATTGATTCCTTTCATTTCTGAAAGGTGATTGCAATCATTTCTATGCCATCATTTCGATGATTAAGCTGAATAGGCGCAATAACTACAATATTAATGCGTTCACATAACAGTAGGGTTTGATTTTCAAAAATATGTGTAACATATTCAAATGTTTGCACATTTAAAATATTCGTTATACATGTATTTGTTTTGAGTGCTTAGTAATCCCTTTTTCTATCAGTAAAAAAGCTGTATGCAGCAAGTAATTCCCCTGATAAATATGTAATATGTTTTGACATGTGGGGTTTTGTCCATCTTCTCTAAATATAGTATTACATTGTTAACATAAGGGATTGGGCTCGAATGAAAAAATAAGCTTTGTTGAATAACTATTTAGATCACTTGGTTTGTTTGTGAAAAAAATATTAATGAGCAGTTTTTCAAAAACATGCCATCCATTAATACCTTTAAACACTTGGATTCCTTATGCACTTGTCATTAGTTTTCTCTGCCCTACTCACATGGAAAAAAATGGGACTTTGACTTGTCACAGGACTTCCACTTTAAGATCTAATAAAATATCAATGGTGTGATCCGCAACAATTCTTCTACATATTGTAAGTAAGCGGCTATATCCAATCTTTGTTGCTAAGATAAAATAATTGCATTGACTCAGAAGTATAGGAACAACTCACAGGTTATGACGTGTCTCAATTCCCATGCTTATGCTATCACCCAGGACACTTTTTGACAGTGGACATTAGTAAAATATAGAAAACTCAAACACAACTTGCCTTATTTTAATAAGTTTACTTTTCAAAAGAAGTTAGCAAGACATAAGGTCATTTTAATTCATGGTTATCATAAAGCAAAATAGTTTTTGTGTTGTTCCTTATGATCATAACAATTTTGAAATTAAGTACATTATCTCCTAAATGATAAAGTGGCTTGTATGATTACATATAATTAAAATCAGATTTTTAGTACATTTTTTAGTAAACCATGAAAATAATGTCTAAAAAGTCTCTCTGGTATGTAATGTAGATAATATTAAACCCTTAAATGAAAAGTGACATATGCTAGTTAACTTTCTGCCAGATCACCCCTTTTCTAGATTGTTATTCCTACCCATAATTAGATTATTGGGTTCCAATTACCAAATTGTAAAAGTTTTACTAATGATAACAATAGGGATGTTTCTATAATTATAGTATCAATTACATGTATGTAACTTTTTGAAAAAATTAAGTAGTCTGAATGAAAATTTGAACACAAGCTATCAACAGTGTTCAATTAATTGTAATCTTAAATGGGGTCTCCAAATAAGCTTGTTATACACCAAGTTTGATTACAAATATCTCATTCCTAACTCCAGTTATTGTCAGGAAACCAACTTTTTTTTCTATTTTTAGTAAACACTGTAACGGTGACCTTGACCCTAGGGGACCAAATGCAATACCACCCAGGTCTTCATATAAGCTTCCTTTACATCAAATTTGATTACAATATCTCATTCCTAACTCTAGTTATTGTCCAGGAACCATTTTTTTTCTATTTTTAATAAGGGTGACCTTTGACCTTGAACTCCAGGGGGCCCAAATGCAATACCAACCAGGGTCTTCATATAAGCTTGCTATAAACCAAGTTTGATTACAATATCTCATTCAAAACTCTAGTTATTGTCAGAAAACCATTTTTCTATTTTTGGTAATGGTGACCTTAACCTTGAATCCTGGGGATCCAAATGCAATACCAACCGGAGGTCTCCACATAAGGCAAGTTTGATTACAATACCTCATTCCAAACTCTAGTCATCGCCCCGGAAACCATGATGTGGACCGA